TCCACTCATAAACCAATATAATCATAAATTTTAATCTAATCTGGCGGCATTATTTTTGACTGTTTAGTGACCATGACAAAAGCAACCTTTTCTGCGATCTACGAGTAATCTTCTCTCCACCTTCCACTTTTACGTCTTCTAATTAAGTGATGCTATTTCTAACGCCTCACTGCCATGGTTATTAGATTAGCCTTGATCGACTAACAAATGAACGCGTCTCCAATGTTTCTACCTACTCGTATATTGATAAAAATTATCTTGTATTGTGCATGCTATTGCTGCTGAGAATGTTGACTAAGGTTGGCTAAAGAATATTGTCTGGTAGTTAGCAAAAAGAGACTTAGAGATACTCAAACCACAATCCCACGCCAATCCTAACGTAAGCAGTCATCGTGGAAAAATCGATTGATTCCTAAATAATAATGCTTATATGAAATCCCTGTTTTGGTCTGGTTTCCCTTTGTGAACAAACCCATTAAGAATGGGTGTTCGTAGGCTGAACCAACATTGTTACTGGTGCAGTCGTAAAGATTAGCTTGTAATCACCTTTGATCTTTCCTTGAGGTGTGCAACCGGTCTGAATCTTGTTACCATCAAGCAGGTGGCCAACTGTTGGCTACCCCCGTTCCCTGACCAGGGTTTAATAGAAAATGTGCTCAACATCCAAATGCGACTACTTTTATCCAAACTAGGTTCCTCTCTCAAAAAATCTGCAACGGGACACCATGTGAACCTCTCTGGAGGACATATCAGAAAGAACCCATGGGTTTGGGTAAATTTAGCCTTTTATACTCTATGCAACTCATCTCTAGTATTCAGCGTGCTGCGCTTTACATCCTGGGAGCAATTCTCTCCATCGGAAAAGATCCGAATTTTATGTGCTTTAGTGGGCTCCTCTACTATTTTCAAAACTTGTTTTCACCTTTGGCAGACCTTTTCTCAAGGGCCATTTCCCAGTTACATCGCCTTGATAGTCTCTACTGAAATTCTCCATTTCATGCTGATTTCCTTTTACAGTGTTGATGGGGAACTGAACAGCGACAACGATCTCTGTACATTGATGTCCTGTGCGAATCATCACGATGCAAGTTTTGTCTTACGTGATACAAGTGGACTCCTGTCATCATTCACTCGCGTTATCATCACGTATGAGGTCTTAAGCTTTTAAGGGAGGGAAGTGTGCCTAGACGCCTTCACCGCCTTTGTTAAATTTAGTACGAAGGAATTGCCCATCGTAGAATGGGTCATGACTTAAGTCACTTGGCGTCTAAGTAATGGGATTAGAAAACCCTGAAGAAGAAAGCTTTACATGGCTTCAAACGATGACTCGATTCCCTTTACATCCTCAAGACACGCATAGTAGCTCGTAAGGTGATAATGAACCGGACAGCTCGCAAACAAAACCCCAGCTTCCGTATGCACACATCCTGATTAAACACCATGATCGCCCTTCTTTTTCCCACTTTTGTTAAAATAAAATTTGTTTATCTTAACTCTCATTTTTTCGATTTGTCAAATATTATCCCCTCCCGTTTGTAAGCCACAAGGCTGTGGAATCAACTGAAGGTAGGTTAATCTAGCAACGATATTAGCCCGATCACCCATAACCAACAATTATTAGGTGGGCAACTAAGTCGTTGCCGTTTTTGTTGACAGATTCACTCTATACCTTCTTTTGTTTTGTTAACGTGGCCAGAGCATCTAACCTATATTTTTTCTTACTGTATGGGCTTCTAGGTTAATTAGTAAAAAATTTTTTTTGTTTAGTTCTTTAGTTTTGTTTTTATCCCAATTTAAAAATGAAAGAACAGGACGCGCACTTCCGACACATTTTATTGTATTACTTCCGAAAAGGCAAGAACGCATCGCAAGCACAAAAGAAGTTATGTGCCCTATATGGAGATGAAGCCTTAAAAGAAAGGCAGATTTCGTTCCGGTGATTTTCACTGAAAAATTCACAACGATCTGGGCGCCCAGTCGAAGTGAATGAAACCCATATCAAGGCCATTATCGATTCAAATCGTCACAGCACAACACGAGATATTGCAGAGAAGTTCAATGTGTCGCATACATGCATTGAAAAAAAAAAATGAAAAACCCTTGGTTATGTCAAGAAACTTGATCTATGGATCCCTCACCAGTTAAAGGAAATTCATTTGACGCAACGGATTAGCATCTGTGATTCGCCGCTACTGAAACGCAATGAGAATGATCCATTTCCGAGGAAGAACCTAGTTACTGGCGACGAAAAGTGGATAGTTTATAACAATGTTACTCGCAAGAGATCATGGGTGAAGCAAGATCAACCAGCCCAAACAGTATCAAAAGCAGAGATTCACCAAAAAAAGATTATGCTGTCAGTCTGGTGGGGGGATCACAGAGGAATTTTGTATTTTGAACTCATGCCGCAGAACCAAACGATAAATTCAAATGTGTATGTTGAACAACTCGAAAAACTGAAGGAAGGATGCAATTGAAGATAAGCGGCCGGCATTATCAAATCGGCGGAAGGGTGTTGTTTTCCATCATGATAACGCAAGGCCCCACACACATCTTTGGTTACTCGGCAAAAATTATTGGAACTGGGTTGGGATGTTTTGTCACACCCACCCCATATATAGCCCTGACCTTGCGCCTTCGGATTACCATTTGTTTCGTTCCATGCAAAACTCTTTAAATGGTAAAATTTTTAACAACGCGGATGATGTCGGATCACACCTAATTCAGTTTTTTAATAGCAAAGACCAGACATTTTACGAACGGGGAATTTTTACTCTGCCAGAACGATGGAAAAAGGTCATCGACAAGAACGGCCAATATCTAATTGAATAAAGTTATATTTTTAAACAAAAATTCCGAATTTGCATTCTTATTTAAAATCGGCAATGACTTAGTTGCCAACCTAATAGATATATGGCAATGTGGCAAGCTAACAAACGGTTATTTGTGAGACTACTCCCAGACTACGTGCCGACTTGTCACGTGCGTTGATGGTATGCGTGACATGACTAGCCCCTTATTCCTCTTCCCCGCCTCTCCCCACTGTTCAACAGTCTCCCAATAAATGCTTTTATTTCCACTCAACCAGCTATGTAATTAATCTGCAATAAAACCATCTACATAGGCTCTGTGTGAACTCTCGAAGACAATCTCTAAATCAGACTCAATTGAAATATATATATATATATATATATATATATATAGTTAGATCTCCTTTGGATCATTGTTACTCTGGCTCCTGGGATGAAAATGACCAACCTCCCAACTTCGTCTACCTGTTGGTCAACCCTTTACCCATGTATTCGAAATGCGGATGGAACCCCTCTCACGTCCTGCCAAGAACTACTGTAGTTTCGAGAAATCTGAGGTGGCTAGGGTACTATTTTTCAGTATTTTAAGTGTATGGTACCTGTTTGAATGATAATGTGATTAGGTGCAACAAATGATAAAATTTTCAGATGGCATACGCTTCAAGATATTTAGATATACCAAAGCATTGGTCTGTGTAGGCCAAAATATAATTACACCATGTAAATATACTCTTCATATTTATAGTTGCAATTCTTCACTAAGAAGGAAAGGACAATACTACTGATGCGAAAAAAATTTCAAAGCAAAGGCATTTCCATTTTACCCACGTTAGTCGTTTGATGTGGCGTGCACACAATATACTTGTACGAGTTTTCTATTGCGTGTGAGGGACAATTTCTGCTAAATCTGAGTGTTTTTGGAGCATGAATTAACCGCCTGACTATATATTGCAAGTAAGGGATGCGCGATAGACTTACCTCCTCGTGGTGCACCCTGGGCAACGTATACTCAGACGGCTAAAAAGTCTATTGATCGGCAGTTGACTTCTCACTTCTAATCACGCATGCCATTTGAAATCATTAAATACATATTACAAGTACTAAACGAGCTCTGCAGTTGCATCCCGATTAGTGGAAATTATTTTGGAACAGAATAGTATTTAAGATTTATGACGTGTCATAGGATACACTTTTAATTAAAATAGTTACTGGAAAACACCCATAATGTCGAATAAAGCAAGTTGACATTCTGTACTAATACCCTCATATATGAACATCTGATCTCCTAAATAGAAACCAAAGGTAGGTCATTCTAATTGCTGAAGCACTCTTCTACTGCAAAAGATTTGCGAACGTCAATTTAGGAGTAGCCTTTTTCCTCCCCTTCAAGATTTTACAATCATTCCCAATCCTAAGCTTATTTTGTAAGGAGAGCAGTAAATAACTACCGCAAAAGTACTTTAAGGGAAACCAACGTCGGACAAACTCCTCAATAGACTAATAGTAATCGCTTAATTATATATATTATAATGCGTACACACATCAACGAAAACAGAAAACGTCAGTTTGTTCCTATGTTTATGGCCCACCATAATGGTCAAAGAAAGATGGGCTGGTACGAGCTCACCACACACCTCTCGCAAACGCGCTACAACTCGCTCATTTCGGAACTTGGAGCCCCCGTGTAGTAAAACTTCAATCCCCAGATTTTGTCCATTTTAATTTAGAGCTCTAGTTGCTCGATCAGTGGTATCCGGAAGCCCTCCATCCGTTCATGTTATCCCCCCTTATGAATATCCCCATACAAACTAGCTCCACTGTAACCACTCTCTCCCCATACCCAGTAACAACAAAATTTATTATTATTTAATAGTAATAGTAAATAAAGCAATTAAACTGGCGATCGCACTCCTCCATCTGTGGTTTCAGTTATCGTAGTCTCATTACAAATAACTATCAAAATAATTTCACTCATTTCAACAACAACATTTCACACTTAAAAGACAGGCCAATTTTGTTCACGATTATCGTCTATCACCCAAAAGAGCCAAAAAACGCTTTCACAAATGTACACAAAGGGGTGGCGAGGTGAGAAGGAAGGAAACTGCGTGAAAGCATCTGCCCCCTTCTTCGCTCACCGCAAAAATAAGTCGATTCACACACACACACACACATTACTCACAACTCAACTCAATTAAAAATACGAATAGGTTTTTCTGAAGGGAGGTACCTTGCCACTCCACCTACATTTCTTCTTTTCGCTGCCGTTGTTACATCTACCGAAGCATGATTATTTTGGAAATTACTAAACACAGCCGACCCCTTACGGGCCAGTAGGGGCATTTCAATACCCAGCCACGGACGTAGACCAAAAAGTAGACGCGATTTACGAAGTCCATGGATAGCCAAATCTGGAGCGGGCATAAAGTTGGTCAAATCAATGCGCGCCTCTACCTTTCCTCCGTTTTCACCGGTAGTCATTGGGATGTGTTTACTGGAGACGCGCATGGTTGCGAGACTGTCCTGAGTTGGAGTGAGAGGAGATGTGCCCGCGGAGGAAGGGAAAATAGGTCCTTTGAGTATAGTCAACCGCCACTTTTCTGCCATATCAGAGCGAATGTTTAGATGGTTGCGGATACGTTTTAAAAGAGAAGATACGCGTTCGCCCTGCCTGAGAACGATAGTAAATGGCATGAGCCCAATGGTGATAGCTCCATTGACACTATCCTTGTAGAAGAGAGAGCACACCACAGGAAGCTTAGAGGTGTTGTCAACATTGCCAATTGAAGCTTCTTCTACATCGGCAATGTCTTTTTGATCATCAACGTCACTCATGCTATCCTCTGAGGCTCTAGAGTTGTCATATGAAGCGTCCATGGACGATGGAGAAGGATTTTCCTTATTAGCTCCACAGGAGTCCATAGAAACAGCGTCTCCACCTGATGAGGAATGACTTGACCTCGACCTTGAACCTGGTAATGGAGAGGCTCCTTCACTTTCTAAGTCGTTCTCCTCGACCGACTCACGTTCCAAAAACTAAAATTTAGGATATGTTAGATATGTTAGAAGTGGGTTCGCAACCTTGCTGGACCAAACAAAGACATGCGTCCCTATATAATGGACCAATCAGCCAAATATGTAAGGAACTTGGTAATTGTCTAGATAAGGTCATTCTCAAGGCTCCAGGTGAAAACGGAGTTCTGCTGCCGTTGAACCAAAATAGGTGTCTACTTAAGTACACCATTCCAATTCAAAATTTAGATCAATTCTAAATTTAATTCAATTTTAAACTATTTCTAAAAAAATTTCGCACAGGCAGTGGGGTTCTTAAAACATGATTAAAATTGGTTACGAAGCTATTAAATTGGTGAATCAGCTTGACCTGGACCTACATTTATCATTCACCTTCATTGATGTGCCCTCTTAAAAAACTGAGAAAATGTCAACAGTAGTGTCTAAATGGCCAGTACAAAATGATGGCAGATCATTTCCCATTCATAACAGATCTAACTAGGATCACTAAAATTGAGAAGTACTTTTGAGGGCTTCACAAAGCACGTCACAACAGAACAAAGCATGTCAATTCAGGCATTATTTAAGGCGTCACTGCCTATAGTTTCATCACCTACTGCCTCACAACAACTCGATGACTGTTCATAGCATTACTTCAGCATTAAATAGCCATTCAAAACTTACTTGGAGAGCATTGTCCCCATCATCATCCACTTCCTCATCAGCATTGCAAATAAGACTGAGATTATTGGGCTCCGCCGGAGTACAACAGCTACTACTATCACCTTCGGAACTAGTGGCATCTACATTCCCCGTAAAATTGCCACTCCGGGGGATTTCAATATCATCTTCTATCTCAATGTCATCACCATCGTCATTATCATCACTACAAACAATATTGACATCGTCGTAGTCATCCTCCTCCCCCTCATGATTTCCAATGGACGGCGTCTCTACTGAAAGAGAGGAAGAAGTGCTTGAACCGATAGCGGATGAGGAATTGGTTGTAGTTGTAGTGGTAGCGGTATTGATGCCACTGGGGAGATTATGTCCCAAAATTGATGAGGATGAGAGTAGTAGTGAAGGTTGGTAGAGATCAGAATTACTGAAAACTCCTGGAGCGGTGATAAGGCCTTGGGGGAAACTGCCAGATGGTAGTTTCGGACCAATATCAGAACTACTGCTTCCATCAGGACTTTCATTAAACTCCTCTACCTCATGGTTATGAGAACGTAGCTCACCGGGATCAACAATTGAATCAATATAAGCAAAATACTCCTGCTCCTCCGCTGTCATGGCTTCGATTCGCAGCATGCGGTTCTCGAGGAGCTAGGAGAGGAAGATTCAAAAGAAAACGAAATGTGATTGTAAGCCTTCTAAAAATAAATTTGTGAGAAAAGTAACACATCAGAAACTAAGCGAAAACCTTTAAACACCCGGGGGGAGATTAACAAACTCGCCTACGAAATCAGAGGCAATATGTTCGACACACATCAGTGTGCACACAGTGGGCAGAATGGCAACCTTAACAATAGAGGTGACAGAAATCGGCTTCATAAAGCTACGCCTATTTATATCTCCTGGGTCATATATAATCTAGAAGACACACATAAATTCAACAGGAAATGACTATCCACTACCATCAACATCTACAGACTACTCATCAAATCTATTCTTCTGCATGTATGAACCGCATTCTCTATGCTGACAGATTACACAATAGCCAGGGTCTGACTCCATACACCTAGTTGCCGAAAAGAAATCAGTTATAGTTAGAAAGCGTAAACAGATGAGAATGCGAACACAACTGATAATGAAATAAAATCTTTGAACTACAATTGGCAATTATTCACCTCTTCGTTCAATTCAAGTTGAAATAACTCAATAATGCTAGTAAAAAATAAAAAACCCTCACCTGAAGTCTTCCAGCTGTTTCCTCTGGAGCAAATTGCTGAATAATCCAGGAATTTAGTGTTTCAAACATTCTGAGGCAAGATGTATCCCCCTCAGGTAGAATATCAATACTGATAAGTTCCTTTCTAGCCAACTCGATTATTTGGCTCACGGTCCAGGTTTTAGGTATAATAAGAAGGAGACGAGTGACCTCACGCATCCTTCTTGTATCTACAAAGACACACCGTAGCTGGCACAATTGTTCCAATTTTTGTGTGGGAATAGGTAGACTCTGGCAGAAGAAATGCACGTTAGGCAACCTTTGCTGTCGGTGATTTGGAGGGAGTGCATGCTGACTGTTTAAAAAGTCCCTAACTGTCCACTTGCACTGAGTGCTAATAGCAGAGAATTCTCGTTCACCATTAACAGAAGATAGACTGCCTGAAACAACAAAAATTTGAACGTTGCTGGGAGAAACAGAAAGGTGGCTTGCTGCTATCTTTACTACATCCCGAAACGGCCGATCAAGAGGTAAACGACAAATTAAGTCCGGACTGTTAATAGAAGACAGAACATGTTCAAGCAGAAAACCCGCCTTGACAGTTCGAACATTGTTTACATGAGATACGCCAGGTAGAAGAATTCTATCACCTGTTTTCATGGGAAAGGAGATTGCAGCTGCAGGTTCTGAGGATGTTAGACCACTGAGAAGATGCCAAGGAAAGTAGATCGTATAGAATTCAACTAGTGTACCATTACGAATCCCGTGATAGAAGCTCACGATGTTATAGTCAAGTGAAGGTAAAGCCAATCTCTCTTCAGCAGAGGGCATAGGCAATGTGGGGGAGGAGGTCCGTTTGTGAAGTTGTTTACTCCTTGAAACGAGCTTTTGAGCAGCAGTCGATTGAGATCGTGTGGGCGATTTTACTGGAGATTTAGCCATTTCAGGACTTGCGGGACTATTCGTCATTTTATTGTTCACTTCTTCAACAATCTTTTTTTCCTCGATCTCCTCATAGCTCTGTTGATAAACAAGGATAACTGTCTCAAAACCGTCGCGAATTCCCAAAGCCTCATCAACAAGCGAATCCCCAGTCTCTCCGGAAACGGGGCGCACTTCCTTATCGAAGGTCTCCACAAAAAGTTTGAGAGGGGTGTTAGAGGGAAGAGCAGCACGAGAACAGAGTTCAGAAAAGATGGTATTTAGGGGCACAGAGAGGGGAATAACAATCCATCCAACATAGACCATAGTGCCCAAATAGATACTTTCTAGAAGCGGAGAGGTAGTGGTTAGACCTGTGAAAGGAGAGAAGAAGTATTTGAGGAAGCAAAGGACCTCTGTATAGGGGGAGAATTGCGTGCACAAAGGTTTGGGTAAAATTTGAACCCATAATGGTGCTGCACTATCATTGGCGAAAGGAATGACCGCTTGATTATTATTTCGGTCTCCAGAACCAGGAAATGAGTCCGCTACCGCCGTCATTGTGGGAGACTTGTGAGGCTGATATGCATCAGTTAAAGCAGATAGAGCACGTATTGGGTGATCTGAGGAAGGAGCAGTTATGGGAGGATTTGGCACATATGGTCTGATCGGTAACAGTGGAGAAAATCGGACAGATCCAGTGAGCCTTGTTGACGGAAAAATAAACGTGATTTAGTGATACTGTCTCCATGCATAGTAGACGTCGCATTGCTAACTGAAAAAGCTAACAACTCGAAATCTGCGAAATAATTTTTTATCAAACTAGAATGGGTGCAGTTACTGAATTGTCATCCATATCAAAGGGGTTTGTAAATAGAGCTATACTGCCACCCTACTGAGTGCAAATAAGTAGCCAATAACTCAAAGAGAATCTAAATTCTGACGTACCTTGGTAACAAGCGCCACAAACGGATATAAGAGGAATCAATTCGCAAAATCGAAGCAACATGACCGAGAACCTCTGGATATGAAGCATTCTTTGGAATATGGAAGCGTCGAGAGGGAATTGTCTCAAAATTGCACAAGTCAGATCCCTAAGCCATGATAAAACAAGAATTTCACGCATGTAGGTGACTAAAATAATAGTCTTTAAGGGCACTTAACAAACCTGCCAACCATAAAAGTCCTCATCGAGAACAAGAACAAGGGTAGTGGAATTGCTCAATTCAGCCTTGGCTTTGCGATGATCAGCTTCTATGCGCTTCTCCTCTCGCAGTCGAGAAACTAAGCACGCTGGAATGTCATCCAGTGTTATGGGTCTCAGAACTGTCCCAAGACACGACTCACGAATGTACACAAGCATATAGGCGTTGGAATAACTCCTAAACACATTCCCCTGTCTATCAATTATAGTACCAAAGTTCTATAAAGGGAATAAAAATTGATTATAAGTAAAGAGTTACATACATAACATATTCATTTCCAAACTGTAATGCGAAGGGCAAAAAAATTTGATAAATGATGATAATACTAGCCAGAAAGAAATTGATGAGACAGAAAATTGGGTACGAACAAAGAAAATGTCTTTATTATAATAATAACAAGACCCTTGAGCGCCGACCTATCCAAGTGTTTAGTGCCACTACATTTTATAGTAATCGAAATAGAGAAAGATGGTAAATGTAATATTTCATATACAAGAGAAGAAAAAGAGTGCTGAAAAGAACTTTTCTACAAGCAAACTCCACAAGGATCTGGAGAAGCCTTCGGCCTGTCAATTCCCATCTATGAAGGAATTCTTAAAGTAAATGGTGTAGGTGTAGATACCAACTGTATGAAAACGTTAACTCATAAGAAATGTTTTGACATCGTTGTCTGGATCAGTATTCTCCATAAACAACGATCAACAATGACTTCTGATACCCAAGTTCCCCATTCCCAAATCTATTCCTCATAGCCCCAACTATTCAATCGGTATTTTTATTTGAATAAAAAGAACTCAATCGCTTCGACGGTACACAAAAAATAAATGATTGATTATGACAATATTGATGAAGGCATGGGAAGCTCGCATTTACCAACCCTCCGTGGTTAGCCTGTATTAACCAATGTGATTGGCCACTCACATCACAGTGACTTAATAGACATGAACTCTGTAAGACAAACAAGCATCAAAAAGAGGGAAAATATAGTAAACCGAGTCAATAACCTTAAATAAAATCCTAAAATAGTGTTACTCACATGATCAATAGCTTCCTCTTGAGTACAACGTGACACAACATCATCATCAAATTTGTACCATTGGTCATTTCCACATGGATTTATGTAAACAACATAATGGCCACTGTGATTGTCACCTGAATGTACCAGCACAGCATGAAGGACATAAGTGGCCGGATTTGTGGGATCAGGCTCCTTCATAAACCCATCCAGTTTCAGCTTATAGGGAAACTCAAACCGATCATTCAGCTTGATATTAGCGTTAGCAAAGTAATCATACTGAAAACGCATCAACTGGAGGTAGAGAACAGGTGGAAGGTGGGTAAAAATTACGCCTTTCTCGGCTTCCTGCAGCCCGTGCTCACCTGCAGCATACTTGTTATCGCCTTCCAGTGTCTCGACAGTTGTGTATTCCTAACAGAGGAAACATTTTCTTTAAAAAAGCTAATAATACAAGGAAATGAGAGAAGATTCTCACTAACTTTAAATGCTTGGTATACATCTTGATTGCCCTTGACCTTGAGTTGAATATCATAAAAGGTTTCCTCCATCTCAGACTCATAAGGCACATGTTTGCATCGGATATAAGAAAGCATTTTTCCCCGAAAAAGATTCGGGATGGTGCCCTCAACTGAAGTACCCTTCATTTTGGTCTCCATGTTATCCAGAAGGAGTCGACACAGCTCTTGAACGTCGTGCTGAAAAAGGGACTCTACAGATTGCCAACCAAAGCTGCGTGTGAGTCGTTTGGTGTTGACAGGACGTTCATTGAATTGTAGCTCGAAGAAGAGACGTTGAAGTGCCAGAGGAATACTAGTAGCTGGTTCTTCACTCTCAGTAGGCATGTGGTAGACAGCACGACGAAGCTCATTAGTAAAAAAGAGGGCCTGAAGGAGGGAGTTCATGTAGCAAGTAGCACCCTGATTACGCAGACCCACAAATCCCGTAAATCGCTTAGAATCCCAATTTGAACCATGAGGAGCATCAGCATAGATCTTGATTCTAAACAACACACTATCGGGTTGTGGGGTTACATCAGGAGTTTGAATTGGCTGGCCTACTTTCTTAGGGGATGAAGGATGTGATGAGAACCGCACTCGGGTTTTTACGCTCTCTTGACCATCGGAAGGAGATTCTGAGAGCGAAGATGATCGAACTCGTGATATTCTATCTTCAGAGGTTTCCATTTTCTGATTCAACGAAATTAACAAATAAAAATAAGGTTTAAAAGCAGAAACAGACTTTTAAAACTTAAAAACAGAAAACTACATTTGATTGAGGTGACCTAGTTTCAGCTTCCATACAAAGCAGACCACGCTCGGGATCAGTAAATTCAGTCCAACTGATGAAATTTGAGAAACCCCAGTCATTCTCCTTGTGGGAGAAGGTGTGATCGATGGTTTTAGTAACTGATTCAAAACCAGGTTTCTGTGAGACAATGGTGAGATCCGCTCGAGCATGGCAAGACCAATTGATAGATTCAGATTCAGCATTGCATTGAAGAAAAAAGCCAACCGTGCGACTTTCTTCATCACAGACGCGAAAAATGACGAGAACTCGCCAAGGCAGACAACGAATTATAACTGCATGTGGACTCACAAGCTGAAGGTAAAATATGAATAAAAGTTCATTTGAACGAGATAATGAGGGCGATGAAATACACTGATATTAATACATAACAATTTATCGGAATTCGTCTCAAAGATATTCATATCAAATGGGAAAAACATAAGATGATGAAAATAAATGAAACTCAACATGCAACAGTTTTGAGAGAAAAAAATCACCGAAATCGAACTAAATTCAGACCCTGATATCGCTTATCATGAAGTGAACATGACTAAAGCTATAACGTCGTAAAACCAAAAGCGGAATATCCGGTTGTTTTTTGCGAGCAGGGACATAAAACAGTTTTTCAGGGTTAACCTTAACCGGTGACTATTAGCCTAACTATAAAGTACACAAATAGCAAACTAGATACCACAAGATAGAAACCTATAAGTAAATGCAAAACAATTGAAATAGCTATTGTTCTCGCTAAAACCTCAAAAGGAATTACCTTTATATCCTCATCCTTGTTCTAAAATAGGATAAAAATAGGTTAAAAAAGAGGCATAATTTACGTAGAGACAAAGAGGTGACAGCATTACATTTTTAAGCAGATCACTAAAGTTACAAACACGAAATTCCAGAATTCCGGTAGGCCCGGCCTCGTCGAATGAACTCATATTTTCTTCCTCCCCGTCGATATCATACAATTGTGGATTAAGACTGGCTTCCTAAACAAAAAAAATAGAAGCATTTATAGGATGCGCATATATATTGCCTTAAATCAAAAATAATGGTTCAAAAAAACACTTATCCCCTTCAATTATACCGAATAAGCAGGAGAACTGCAGGGACAAAAATCAAAACTACAATTAGCTCAAAAATTAACGTAGTATAAAGCTCGCATTTTTGCAAAAACGGAGCTTACATTGGAGACGGATAAAGCAACATATATTCAAACTTTAATTATGAAGTAATAGTATTCTGATGAAGTTCATATTTATGCAGTTTGAATGCTGATCACAGGCGACCAATAAAAGATGCCTCTATAAATACTTGTAAATACGTCATGATAGAAAAAAGAACGAAAGTAATATAATTAGTACTAACACCACATGCAGCACCCAGTGGACAGAATGGACATTAAAATCAGCATAGTCACAAAAGGGTTTGATTTAAGAATAAGCATATAAAAAAATACCATTTCGCAGGTGCCAGAAAGTTTACGGCGCTTAGCACCGTTAACATCTGAAGGGGGTTCGTCATTGACAGGAATGAATTCTAGCGAATGTCCATCAGGTAGAAAATCAATTTTGTGTTTGTGCCCAGCAACAGGTACTTGTTCTTCTTCGATTTGCATAAATATTAAACCACGATTTTAATGCAAACCTAAAGACAGAGTGGAGAATTAAGACTTAATTATTGCAACGCAGACAATTGCAACTGGAAGACTAAAGTAAATAAAACTCAAGCATAAGTCGTATTTGACAGATTAACTCAAAATAGAACAATTTAAATAGTTTAATTATTGAACAATTAGCACTATCAAATCTATTAAAATTGACTAAAAGGAATTATTTAACGGATAATAAAAATCAATCACACCTGAGCGCCACCCTTAAATAACTGAGCAAAACGCGAGTGAATGCAATGAATATAAACAGCATTTTTTAATTTAGAGGAAACGAGAGCAAAACCAAAAAAAGTAAATGAAGGAATCACGAAAAAATTAAGATGAATAATTACCGAAGTGCTCAATTTAATGAAAACGTATTTAAGTAACTTACAAAGAATGTTTCAATGTAAATATTGAGATTAAAGTTTTAGTACGTTTTGGTTATAATTTTTGCCATTTATGAAAGTATAATGTCCATTTTTTATAAATGAAAATTATAAGAATTAACACTACTTTATGATTCCACTTTCAATAGTTTATAAAAGAACACAGTTTTCGTTTTCATAAATACAAATTGTAAAATAATGATTCTCTTCTGAATTAGGAAGGATTTTGGTAAATAAAAGCCCATAAAAAACTTTAATGTGCTAGGTTCTGGAAAATTTTTTCAATTTAACACGTATTTTCAATTATAATGCATGTGTCTATCAAATTCGTAGGGATCACGAATTGGAGAAGTATAATTGCCTGCCTTTATAAGCTGCGCATTTAAGTTTAATCACCAAATTTATTTTCCCCGAATAAAATTATTCAAATACAGGATTGGTCGTTTTCGATAATCAATATATAGCAGTTTCTGAAAAATTGTAATATCATGAAAAATTGTCTGTAATTTACCGAGCAGTTGGAAATTAGTATAGACTATGTTGACGAATAAAAAAAACATTCTTCTCCGTTATCAACTATTTTCTTGTTTTCAATAATATTGGATTCGAAGTGCATTGTGTGGGATTGTGTGTGCCTGTGTGTGCATGTCATGCGGACCCACAAATAAAAATACTTCTTTTAAAATGTCATTAATTAATTAGAAATGTCGAATTTGAAAGAAAAAACTTCATGGGCGATTATCAGTCATGTCCATTCGTGGATCTACCCATGAGAAGATTGAAAAGTGAGCAGGTTCCTCATCATATATTTAGATCTACTGTGATTAGAAGCTGTACAAATTTCTAATGGTAATTTCGAGCAATTCATGATTCCGAAATACTCAAAACTCAAATATAAAGCAGATGATATGAATTTTATTGGTTGGGACATGTATTTAAAATAAAAGTTTTAGAAATTATAGAAATTAGATTGTTGTAACGTATAGATAAAGTTGGCCGACATAATATTGGTAGAAAAGAATTAGAATTTTGACTAAGCATTTAAATTTGAGCATATTGCAAAATTGCTACCGCGTTTAATTTCAGACGCTTAATTCATTTGCTAAATACAAAATATCTCCCAGATTAAGATAACCTATTTTCAAAAGGCTTAATATATTGCTTGCATTTTCTCTTCGTTAGATTAATTAGAGCTCACTTCTTTAATTTTATCAACGTATACTCAGTAATCACATAATAAAACTTTATATTTCCTTATGTGATCGTTTAAAATACCCAAAAATTTATGAAGAGTTCCTTTTTAACAAATAATTTGTTTATATCAAACAATATTTCTAACAATATGAAATTCGAGTACATTCGAAATTTGTAGGCATTTTTCTGGTAGCTGAAACAAAATAAAGCTTGTAAGGGTTCTACTAATGTTATTGCCAGTTTGAGTTTCATATTAAGCACTAATTCTGAGCTCGACATAAAGTAGTTTGGTAGTTAGACTTGAGATTCTGAATAAACAACCTAACCAAAACCAGTTTCCACATAAATTTACATTGGCTTTATTCATCAACTCATTTCCATCTATCTTTAAAAGTTATGTAATTACGTATCTTGGCAAATATCTTGAACACTACCCAACTATAACACTTTATTTGCATTCGAATTCCAGTTCAGTTGATTGCACTATTTCAGTCGTATTTGAAATAATATTTTTAACGCTGCGCCTTCAATGATACATGTGACATTTTACTATGAGTTCCTGATTTTCTTCGCTTAATTATATTGGATTCAAACTACCCTTTTGTAGGATATCACTTTTATGAACTACTCTCGAAACCCTTTTTCGCTTCGATCGTTCATGGTAAATTAAACGAATTAACCAATTTTATATTTATATCAACATAATAATTAGTGGATAGTAAACTCTTAAGCAAAATCAGGCACTTTTTTAGAAATTCATTGGTCAAAAGTTCATTTAAAATAATGCACTGATATTTTAGCTCTTAATAATTATCTATTGATCCACCTTTATAAGCTAACCTTAAAAAGCCGCTTGCTTTGACAATGCTGGTATCACGCGTATGTGCAATAAAGATATTTCAGTACTTTCTTTTAAATCTTCCGCCTAATATTCCTCTTACAGCCATAAAAATTGAATCATTTATAGTATACGATTATTATTTACTTCACTTTATCGATGTTTATAATAACTGTTCAAGATTTGTTTCTTATGAAGGTCGAATTCATTCGGAGAAAGCTTCTTTACTCTTCTAAGTCCCGTCTGAGACTCAGACAGAGTGATATCTGCAAATTGAAATTTTTAGCCAGATTTATACATCGTGCATTCCTTGCCAATATTTTAACGCTTCGTGAATCAGCCGGTCTCATGATTAGAAGAATCGGCGACTTGTATCGTGCCGGTTATTTTAATTTCTCTCAGGATATAACCCTAAATCGCGGTCAGAAAGTTCTATTTGGTGCTTGCCTTATTTCCTTTGCTCAGGACTCCATTTCAGAGGACGAGATGATAGCGTAGGATTTTCTTATTCCTCTTAGTTTTACCTCCAACATTTTCTTAGAACCGTTGAGGCTTTTGATGTGGAAAAATACAATGAGCTTTGCTTTAGTCCGTCTGGTTTTAAAGAGGAAAAGGGGGAATTAGCCTCCGAGCCTGATTTTCCAACGCCTCGTGTTTATAGCAGCTTAGAAAGTCCCCTGACATTCTACATTCGCGATCTTAGACACACCTTTCGGACAAGAGAAATCAAATTTCTGACAGACACCATCTTTCGTGCACGTCGAACTGAGTCGTGTCCTACAAATACAGAGCCATCAGTAGCTTCGTCTTTTACGCCTCCAAATTCTCCACGTGGGGTTATGCTCACCGAACTCTCAAAACGCCTCTCGACAGATGGAAAAGGATTTATTGATGCTGGCTGGGAGCTCATTATTGATCGGCCTGAGCTTCGTATGTGGCGAAGGCCTTCCTCCAGGTCGTCTGGAATTTCCAGTGGATTATACGAGTACAGAGGTAAATTGTATCTCTTCACCAAAATTTTAATGATTTCACTTTGAAAATTATTTTAACTTAAGTTTATAGTCTAGTATTATTAGACAAGTAGACATGACAGTCAAGATTTTTCATAACTTTAGTGAAACTAGAGTTTTGTTCACTTTCGTTATCTGTTCCCTCTGTGTTCCAACTTCATTGAATATTATAGTTTATAAATTCAATAATGCATATTATTGTTTCTATGCTTTTTTGTTCTCTACTGTAATCGCTTTTTATTCTGATCAATGGCGATAGCTTTTTTTAAAGTGATGGTTTTATTGATTACTTTACTATTACCGCGCTCACATCCATTTCGAAGTTCAAGAAAAAATGTTCGTTGGAATGTATTCACGCCCTTGTTATAATTTTAAACATTTGTGGTAGCTCTGTTTATTTGATAGGAGTGAATCTTTAGAAAATAATGCTAACAGCGCCTATTTCTAGTTCTTTCTCTTATCTAATACGCCTTTGGTTCACTTCAATTCTTTGCCTTTGGCTTCGGGAAAAATCGTTTTTCAAGAGGGATGTGCCCATGTCCAAATTGCTTGTTTTCCTAGGGTGTTTCAACTTACTTGATTTACGTCCTTTCAAGGGCGACTTCTGTGTCTTGTTCGGTTTAAACTCTTTAAAGTTGGTGTTATCTTCGAGAGCATCTATATTTGAAAAAAAATCTGCCATTATTAAAGACCTTAACTTGCCTATATATAACTGGGTACGTGCGAACGATTACTTATCTAATTTACCATTAGTTGTAGCAATAATTTCTAAATGGTTTAACATTCCCATTGATCGATGATCAAGCATATGAGGTATGAAATTTATGATTTTCTGTCGAATTCTTTAGATTTTGCACGGTATTATGTATGTTGAGAGTGTGTTTACATCATTAGCACTGATATAATTTTATTAGCAATGATCACACTTAAGACGCATCTTGAAGCAACACTGTTATGAATTCCATTTCAGTTCCAACCTCGATAATTTGAGCAAATGTTAAACAAGTAAAAATGGTAAAAAGTGGACCCAATGAAATTAAAGCAAGTAATCGGAATTTGCGCGGGACTTACTTAGTTATTTATCGAATAAGGTGTACATCGATTCTGGGCATACATTTGTAGTCGCATATGACACACTGGGTCATCGATTTACTATCCACTGGCAGACGAGATAGGGATGTAAATGGAACTGCAGCAATAAGCGATTAAGGGGGAAGACTTACCATTTAAACGATTTACTGAACTTGATCCATCGATAAAATTTTTGTATCTATTTTCACTTGGTTACTTGGCTTACTTGCTAATATTATCTAATTGTTCAGTCCAGTAAGTATGCATCACTGAAAAACATAAGGTCATTATTAGTTCTAACCACAAGCTTGAATCTCGAAAATAATTTCAGAACCTGTACTGGTATGCAAAATTTGATGTATGTCATTTTGGTATACTCTTGTTCTAAATCGCTTGCACTTTCAGTATGTGGCAGCTTTACAGACATATCAGCCAGGTGCTTCCTCGAAGTTCAACTGAATCTTGAGTATCGACGGCAGTGGGACAATAGTGTAGTAGCTCTTGAATCCTCCCGCTCCACTAAGCCGACAGCAGACGCAGCTGAGACCGAAGTGATTCGATGGGTCGCCCGTTTTCCCTTCCCAATGGCTCGTCGCGAGTATATCTATGCACGACGTTGGTGGCTAACCACTTCTGCGTCAACTCCAACTCACGAAGGCTTAATCGCGCTCATTATTTCTAGAGCATGCAATCGCGAGTCAAAGAATGATGAGAATGGAGGAACTTCTACCAAGGGTAGTGATGATAGTCATAGCAGAAATTTTGAAGCTCAATCTGAAGGTGGAATGGTTAGCGTTAAAGCGTATGAATCGAATATATTCATTCGGTCGCATGGCAACATTGATGAGGTATTATCTCATCCTTGACATATTTTATGCTATCGTTTTTTAATTTCTCTTTAGAGGTGAAATAACTTTTTCTTTTTGTGTCTTGGTGAAATGGGGGGGGGGCTAATTTTGTTAAATCTGAAGGATGGTAAGATGCGAAACTGATTTTAATGACATTATAGATAGTATCAAAGTAATTATCTCCTCTTGCGTTGGCACTAACCACTTCCGTTTTTTTAATAGGCTTATTCATAATAAATTTTAGTGTTCAGTTTACAGTCCGTATTGTAATGTTGGCATATTTTTACTATCTTTGCCATAAGTTCTAGACCCCCCCCCCCAAAATGATAGTCTATTAGAGTGTAACTTAATGTCTTCTACCTCAATTTGTTGAGGTGTATTTGCGTATTTACATCATTCTAATTTATGAAACTGATCAGTCAGGATATTTCTTTATTTATATCAAATGGCAGGCGTTTTGATAGTTATCATTAGCCCTCTAGTTGACTTCAGGCTTCGCAGAGGGGAAGGAACACCAAAGTGGGAAAAATTCGATAGGAGGGACGGAAGAGTGATTCACAGATGTAAGGGAGATAGACACAAAGGTAGAGAAAAGGTGAGGTGAGTACTGTGGAAGTGATTGAATATTACATGTAGTGGTGTCATAGTAATTTGATGTGAGAAGTCAACTGCCGGTTTATAGACTTTTTTGCCCCTATGAGTACACCGCGTGGGGGTAAGTCTATCACACTTCCCATCGGTCAGGATATAGAATGCTATTTCACTGTCCCCACATGAAATGGCTGTTTATTCAAAAATATTCCTGTTGTCTTCCTGTTAGTGCTTAGCTGGCTATCGATTGATTCGATTTAAAGGAGAATGCAGTTGGAATAAAGTATTATGCTTATTGATATAATCTACCATTTATTTTAGCCGGGACTGGATTACTTCCTTGTCTATTATGATGATCCTCAGTTAATTCTCTCTACGGAAGCCGCGAGTCGTATTTCTTCTACAGGCAAGTTGATATGATATCTGCCTGCCTTATCACAGTTGCTAAACCAAATCCTAGGGTACTAAGGGTCTGAAATACCCGGAACGAGAAGACTAAAGGGCGACTGACTACTTTTACTTTGTGGATAAAAATGACAGAACTGTATTGTTGGATAGCTGGCGGTGAATGCCAAGGTAAATTTAAGCCATACTTTGTGATCTATTCATCCATAGATTTCGACGATACAATATCGACCTACCTCTTCTTAGAACACAATAATTTGGTGAATTCTCATGATCAAAAAACTGATCGTGACAAATACTTAGAATTTCTCCTGTAGCTCTGTGATAGAGGCCCATTTAATCAATATATACCTGTGTCGACCTTACTTAATCCCTCCCCCTTATAACTTATATGCCATCGGGTCACTTAAAACGGCACTTCTGATCACTTTAGGCTCTTTATTATTTACAAATCGTATGTACGGATGAGTCTATGTCGGTTGTGAATTCAGTGAGTCAAATTTAGGAGTTATTTTTCATAGTTAAATATTTTTACCTCCAGATCAAAGGAAAAAACAGGTAATTCTTTTCATTGCGTGAATGTGTTTCAACGCAGGGAAAGTGGTGCAGTTAGGGAGAGGGGATCAGTTCATGGGGGGGGGGGGGGAATAAAGTCACTTCTTTGAGAAATCGGTTTTTGAATTTAGGTTGGGTATTCATAGCTTGTTGGATGACTGCAAGAGCACAGTGGCATTCCTAAGGCTAGTAGGTGTAATAATGCTGAGAGAGGTTGTGATTTGTATCCCTGATATTTCTCTTCGCTTGGCATTCAATAATCTGTGCATAGACGAAATTGAATTATAAGGTGTTTTCGAGTGGTTAATCGTGCTCAAGTCATAATAAGGTATTTATTGACAAAATATATCTTTATAATTCTGTGAGGCAAGCGGTTGTAAGGTCAAATCTGTCTATGGCGTCGTTGTTTCGTTATTGAACTCTAAAGAAGTACATGTTCCGATGAATGCGAAGACCGTCAATTTTTAAAAAAAACGTATGTTAACTCAAATTTAAGGGTCATTTTATGTTTATTAAAACCCATAATTTTAAAATAAGATACTAGCTTTTAGCACCTTATAATTACATCATTTACTTACATCTGAAAGTATCTTTTCTCCTTTAGTTGTTCCAAAGTTATTGGAAAAGCTCCATGATGCAGCCCTAGCGATTTCCAAGCATGGGCTACCCGAATGCATATCTCCAATAGTTCCCTCATTTCAACCTCCCTTCTCTCAAGATGCCAAAGTCCCTCCAAATTTGTTATCCTCTGATCGTCACGACGAAACCGTGAACACTTCCCTTTCTTCTGATAATTCAACTTCCATCTCTTTTGGTAGAAAAGTCTACCGACGCATTTTTGGCCCTTAGAGTCCACCTTGCTGCTTTCTCACGGATCCTTGAACATCGTCGTCTTCGCCCATCGAATGAATGGAACCTCTCTACATAAGGAACTTTATTTTCCAATTAGATGCAGTTGTTATTTTGTAACACACAGTCTTGATATTTGTGCGTGTGTGTGTGTGCGTAGTTGTATATGGAATTGAAGATGAATCCCAGTCTTTTTTGAAACAATAATACATCGCGCCACCATCCTACATTTTAATCTTAGTCATTTCTAGATGTGTACCTTTTGTTAGATTAATTTAATCAAATCTAAATTCTATTACATCGCTAATTTTCCCACCATCCTAATCAGCTGGATAATTTGTCTTTTGGTCACTTGATTGTCAATCATCGAAACTACTGGAAGGGATTTGCATTTGATGTAAGTATGCTCCCTGCGTTAAATACTTCCGTCGGGTCTAAATCAAATTTAACCCAGCATTATCTTGTTTAAATCTAAATCAATGTAGCAGACTCTATTTTGCACTGCAGCACTTACCACTACACACAATAATGCAAAAAATCTGCAGCTTTGGGTCATGAAAAGCAGCTGAAATTTGCTAACAGAAAGGCGATCAAAGTGTTGCGGGGTACAGTGTCGAAGACTTGTTCCATTTAATTTTAAATTTGCTATATTCACTAAATGGCCGCAATTTCCAAACTCTCCCTGGATTGCAGTTTTAGCGCTTGGCCACGATGAGTTTTTAACCAAGACATGTCACATCCAATTCATTTCTTCCAATTGATGTGAAGACAAAGTCATCTCTGGAGTATTCGCTTGTTTACCGTTTTAGCAAGACAGGTTAGAAATAGCTCACGGTCATACTAGTTAGCTGTCAATTGTTTCGTTTGTAGACGACTTTTCATCCAGTTGATTACAATAAAAAATGCCAAAATACATATTTTCATAAAGCCCTCCACTCAGGAGGGCCGGAATTGATCTTACAGTTCACTTTGATCGAATCTTGGTTTTACAAGCCATCACTTTCCCACAATTTTCAGACGATATATTCTATCCTATTGTGTTGATTCGCATATTTCTTCGATAGACATTTATTCTTAAACAGGAACTTCTGTGGACGTAGTGTGACCCCTTCGGAGAAGTCTAAATCGTAGCTTTTTCTTCCCTAAACGATAAAACTGTACACTTCGTATGTGTATCTGCTTTGTTAATGCATGGATATCTTCAACCTGATGCAGGCTTATAATAGATCAACATACAGGATGTTGATCTATGATAAGCCTTACACAACAATCTTGACTACTTTCCAGTTGCATTGAAGCCCTTCTTTATTAATATACATTGTGGCTAAAGTCTACCTGAGTCATGAAAGAGAGAAAAACTTGTACCATGGCTGTTCTCACCGGCATAAAAATACGGGGATTCTGGTCGCTGCTCAATGCTCCATTAACACTGAAGAATAACCCGCATGAAGTGGAGACTCCCAGGTTGCCGTAGCTAAAAAATGGCCCTTGATTGAGGGTCTGATTGAAGCCCATAAAATTCGGATCTTTTCCGATGGGGAGAATTGTTCCCAGGGTGTAAAGCGCAGAACGCGGAATACTAGAGATGAGTTGCATAGAGCGCAAAAGACACTCGTCGAGTCATGCAAGCGAAATTTACCCAAACCCACGTGTTCTTTATGATACGTCCTCCAGAGAGATTCACATGATGCCTCATTGCATATTTATCAAGTGAGGGGCCTAGTTTGATTTCAAATAGTCACATATAGGTGTTGAGCACATTAGCTTTTGGGCCCTGGATTGCAGGATACAGCCTAGTTGCACATCTCAGGAAAAGTAAAACATGATTGCTAGTCAATCTTTTCGATGGCAATAGTAACAATAATGGTTTGGCTTCCGAACATCCCAGACCTTAAATCGAAAATCAATTTTGTATGTTCTGGTTGGTGTAGAGAACGATGTTAACCAATCAGCTGATTGACTGTGTATTTTGGAGCCTTATCAAGCAAAGTGTACAATCAGCTTATTTCTGAGCCAGGACGGTTCGGGGCTTTTAACGACGCTAACGACAGTATAGTTCCATTAACATCCGAATTTCTTTTCCATCTCCTAACGTTCATCGTCCTCATCCACTTTTACAATTCTTGATGAGATTGACAAATGCAATGTCCATTTGCAGTTAAATTGGAAGATGGGGATATATATTCAGGAAGACGAACGAAGTTAATATCTAATTAGTAAAAGGTGAGAAAGCTTATGCACGTGTCATTTTCAACAAGATATTTCGATTACCTACGGGCGTTGATATTTATATAGACTCTTAAACAGTTGTTGTGCAGTTCAATTCTGATTAAAATTCATCTTTGGTCTTTTTCAAACCTAGCAAATTCACTGGCCAATTTTGTTTTATTTCTAGGTAGCGGATAATCACAAATTTTGGACTTATAACAATAGTCTTATAGTTTTGGAAACATTTTTTTTGATGAATAATTCGAAGTTTATAATATTCGTATAAAAATACAATCAGGCTGTTACAGCGATGTTAGTTGGCCAAAGGGTCTTATCAAGGCTTTAATTGCTCAGGACCAGATGGGGAAGAATAACCGAGAAGCTAATAGAAATGAATGTTCGTTTCAATAGAGGAAATCATATTGTATCACATGACTGTCCATTTGCGGTGAAAGTAGATGGGGCAATACCTCATTACCCAACCTTAACATCTAAGAACTCCAATGAAATACTCTTGTCCCAAAGGGATGAATTCTGCTCTGGACTCCAGTGTTATTCAACACCCCTATCAATTACTTACACAATCAGAGGCATGAATTATTGACAAGTTATTAGCAAAAATTGAAATGGAATTCTCTCACATGATATCTCCTTATAAAACCAATAATCTATGAGACCGGCAGGAAACAAGAGCGTTTCTGAAAATGAGAAGACTGAGAATTCAGACGATCGTGTTGCTATTTAGGAGGAGAAATAGGCATAGGTACTGGAAGGCAGTAGCGTCAGTACCGAGTAGACAAAAAATTAACCCCCAACAAATAAGAGGCAGAGTTATGAGTTAGCATGTGAGCTGTACATCCACAGTGCCTTTCGCTTTGTAAACCTATTTATCTGTTGATTACCACACGAGTAAATTGCGAACAATATTTTTCACATTGCCTTGGTTACTCTTTATCTGAATGTAATTTCAGTGGATATTGACAAGGACGAGGTCAATTTAACTCAATAAAAGTATCTCGAGATCGTCGCTTTAGATGGTTAACACGCTTTCAGTTCGTAGGAAATTTTAAGTTTGAACATTTTGTCGATGGTAGTGCTAACCAGACAGTAAATAAAATGGATACTAAATCCATCCTTTAGGCGACTAACTCGACTCGTTCCTCGCATAAGGCTGGTTTGAAAGTCTATTTTTTGGGTTATCTCAGATAATTTATTTATTTCAAATGGCAGGCGCTTTGATAGCTATCATTAGCCATTTAGCTGACTTCGGGCTTCATAGAGGGAAGGTTAATCAAAGTAGAGAAAGTCGAGGGGTGGGGAACAGAAGAGCGATTCACAGATGTAAAAGAGACAAACAGACACAAAGGTAGAGTAAAGATAAGATGAGTACTGTGAAGGGGTCGAATATGACAAGCAGTCGGGCCATGGTAATTTGAAGTCAGAAGTCAGCAGCCGGTTAATAGACTTTTTGCCGAATGACTATACGTTGCCCAGGTCTATCGCACACCCCGTT